GCATTTGGGAGGATTGTCGTGCAATGTCTATGGCCTCGAAGGCTCTTCTTAGATAAAGACGATGTGGGCAATCTCTAGATCTCCTTACGAAGTTTAGAGATCAATAAAATGGGTCATCGAATCGTCTCCAGTGGTTGTCACCTGAGAGAGCAAAAAAATAGTGACTTTGCAGTTCTCCGGTGACTATCACCTGATAGAGAGGAGCTAGATGGAGGTGGAGGCATGTTAGGGAGCTTCATCCTTATGTCCGCGTAGCAAGAGGAGGCTATTCATCGCATCCAGCTCTCAAGAGGTGGCGACTCATCTCCCAGCAAATCGTCCTCTTCTTGACGATAGCTTGTTTGTCAATCAATCGGAGATGATTTACTCGATAGATTCGCGATCCTTTTATTGCAAATCCTTCAGCAATTTTAGTAGCAATGCTCTGCGAATCACGTTGACGAGATTTTTGCCGATGATCTAGCGATTCTCGTTGTTTAATCCTTCATTGATGATCTACAGGAAAGTGAGAAGACTATTGGTTGGAAAATAGATGATCTTAGGGATATTGATATGAGTGTATGCATGCATAATATATTTTGAGAAGGGGTGAGAACTAGTAGGGAACCACAATGAAGATTAAATCCTAATATGATGAAAATTATAAAAAAAATAAAATTAAAGTGGCTAACTCCTAATATTATTTATCTTATTTTCAATAGCAAATGAGGTAGTCCTACACAAGTGGTACCAAAAAAATCAGGGATCACGATTATAAAAAACAAAATAGAGATGAAATACAAATGGAAAAAGAAAAAAGAGTGCATCGAATTATGTAGTGGGAGCCATTCTAGGATAAAAAAAGAGTCCAAACCTATAGTAATTTTGTATGCTAGTTAAACTATATATTTTGAATTAGAAAGAGTCAATTAAATTATACTACAACTAAAAAATAGTTGCTAGCTATAATATTTTCATTAGAAAGGTTTAGATCATATATTTGAGAGCTAAAATTATTATTTATACTAATCATGCAGCATTATAATATTTTGTTAAATAAAAAAGATACAAAGCCATGTTTATTAAGATGGATTTTATTATTGTAGGAATTTGACTAAGAAATAAAAGAGAAAAAATGTTTCGAGAATGTTGTTGTTGATCATCTTTCGAGATTGAGTGATATATGAATAAATGCAACACCTTTACAAGATGCATTTCAAGATGAATAATTGATGACAGCTCAACATCAACCATCACTATGATATGTGACATGACATAGTCATTGTATAGTAAATCACACAAATTTAAAATTTATAAAACTAGAAAATAAGAATTTTTAGATATTTAAAAGTATTTCTGAACAAATATATCAATTATAATTCAATAAAACTTTCAAAAAGAGTAGTAATTTTTTAAGTTGATCATAGGGATGTAATATAATATCGAGTAATTATTCAGAATTTTCCTTAAAGAATAATATTTTCTATGAATTTTATACTAAGAAATGAAAATAAAATATATTTAAAATTCATAAAAAAGGGAAATAAGGGTGCGGACGTCAGAATGACATCAGTGCTTGGTGAATGTAAATCGGGCAGAAATAAAGTTTCGTCCGGTGATTATTACGTAAGTGATTACACACGATTTAATTGATCAAATTAAGATTTGTAAAAGCCAAAAGAATCATTATTAGATGAAGTCTATCTTCGTAAATTTAAATCACAAAAATTATCACTAAATGAAGCAAAAATTAAGTTGAAAATAGGAAAATAGAGTTCCAGCAGCGTGGCGGCAATTCATTAGTGATGTACTGAAATCCTAAGCGTTCAGGAGGATCGTCGTGTAGTGTCCATGGCCTCGAAGGCTCTCCCTAGATATGAATGACATGGGCAATCTCTAAATCTCCTTGCGAAGTCTAAAGATCAATGAAATGGGTCGTCGAATCATCTTCGGTGGCTGTCACCCAGCGGAGTGGAAAAACGGCGACTTTGCGACTCTCTGGTAGCTGTCACCCTATGGAGAGGAGGCGGATGGAGATGGGGTGTGTGTTAGGGAGCTTCATTCTCAAGTCCGCGTAGTAAGAGGAGGCTCTTCACCGCATTTGGTACGCTCTTAGGAGATAGCGACTCATCTCCTGACGAATCATCCTCTTCCCAACGACGACTTGTTCGTCGATCAATCAGAGATACTTTACTTGATAGATTTGCAATCCTTTTATCGTGAATTGTTCAACAATTTTAGTAACAATGCTCTGTGAATCATGTTGATGAGATTTTTACTAATGATTTAGCAATTCTAGTTGCTTAATCCTTCACTGGCGATATGTAAGAAAGTCGCAATAATTAGATAAAAAATATGAGTTTTGGCTCTATGAGGATTTGAACCCACGCCAATTGCCCGCCCTTTCTAGGGAAGGTGACACAGGTTTAGTCCCACATCACGTGTGCTGAATTTTCAAGTGAATATATAATAATGTTACATTTGCAAGCAAGTCCCTTTCTCGCACATTGTATGACCACTCCTTGCCCCATAGTCGGCTGGCCACCGATGACTTGGAAGGGAGGTGGTGCACACGTACCCTTATCAGTCCAAGCCACTCAAGCCCCTGCTCACGGCTACTCTCTAATTGCACTTCCAACCTGCTTGTGGGCCTAGTTGGCTGACGGGTCCCTGCCCCCATTTTGTTTTATTTTTATTTTAATTTCTTTTTCATCATTTATCTCAAAAGTAAAATTGTAAAACTTATATCATGAGTTTTACACACTTTAACTACCCAATATAAGTTAACTACCCAAAATATAAATATAAGTCATATAAAATCAACTCATATAAAATCATATAAAATCACATAACTACCCAAAATATAAATATAAGTCATATAAAATCAACTCATATAAAATCATATAAAATCACATAACTACCCAAAATTTCACGTTAATCAATTGAAAACCACTTTTCACACTTTAACACAAATATAAGTCTATTTATCATAAGTTAAGGTTAAAACTATATTATCTACTAATTATTCACTTGGAGAATGAAGACTTATTAGTATGCACATATTGTTAATTTTTTGATTTCTAGAAAAATTTCAGAACAATCAAATGAGAATAGAAAAAATCATTTCTTTTCTAAGATTAAAAATTAGTTTTGGCATGATCTTAATTTATACTACTTAGGTAATGATCAAATTTTAAGGAAATGTGTTCCTAAATAAGAATATCATAGCATTCTTAACATGTGCCATTCATCTAATTGTGGAAGACATTTCTCTACACGAAAACCAACTGCAAAAAAATTTCAGTGTGATTTTTATTACCCTACAATTATTAGAAATTCTA